CCCTTATCTTTTCCCCTCCCTCCCTCCCTCCCTCCCTCCCTTCCTCCCTTCCTCCCTTCCTCCCTTCCTCCCTTCCTCCCTTCCTTCCTTCCTTCCCCTTCTTCCTTCCCCTTAGCATTATTATTTTAGAAATTTTCCAACATACAAAAAAATTGACAGGATGTTATAATGAATCTCCATGTAGCCGTCCCACAGCTTCAACAATTATGTACGTTTTGCCAGTGAAGGATGGTTTCTTAGATGCAGCTGACTTAGGCATATTCTTACACTCAGGAAAAAGAGCCAAGATAGAAGGAGCAGTTGAAAATTTAGAAGAGAAAGATGATAATTGATAGAACCAGATTTTTGAGAAGGAGGCAGGTGATAGAGTACAGTACAGGTGGAGATTCTGGCTCCAGTAAGAAAGACACTTTGTCCACTGATCTGAGAAATAAAAAGATAAAAATACTGTCCCTCAGAAATCTAGTTAAAATTCCAATTTCCGGTAGCGTACGGTGCTAATTCAATTCCTCCAGTTTCCTTCTGCCACTGCACTCCTTCAGGCTGCCTCAGTTCCTCCCATGAAGTGATTCACTAATTTTTTTTGAAAAATCTATTCCACCTAAGCATTTCATGAGTTCAGTCGTTTTATTGAAGATCCAGGGTCTACAGAGAGTAGTCACATTACAGAGAACAACCATTTACCATCCTCCACCTTGGGAGGAGCCTTTATTATCTCTCCAAAGCAACAAAGAAATTGTTCCCCCTTGTCCTACAAATGGAATTCTCTTCCTAAGTGGAATCCTGGGGAATAAAATGTTCTCCATTACTTAACACAGAGATTAAGTTTTTGGTGTCAAGTCGGGAAATGAGCAAATTCATGCCTAATAACAGTTAATTTCTCTGTGAAGTAGGAAGAGAGTTCATTTGGAAGGAGGTCATTTGGCTGGAATTGAGTAGGAAGAAGCTTTATAAGTGTGGCAAGTGTTTGGAATATTGCCAAAGCCTTCTTTTTAGCTTTACCTAAAGTGATGTCTTGCTTTCTAATAAAAGATGAAAACAGCAAAATGCCTCCCTCCCCCCACACACACTCACAGGAAGTGAGAATAGGATTATTAGGGGATGTTAGACTTATATGAAGTACCACTTAAATGGGCGGGACTGCCAACTGATCCTCTTTTGTGTTGACTGTGGGAAGATAAGTTTGGGAAATGGTATCAGGGAACTTTTCTCCATTTAAATCTGAGTAAGGAGGTATTTGCATGAGCATCATCCTAGCCATTCATTAGATAACTTCTTAATTCTAGAGGTAGAAATGTATATTCCAAGCATTTTGTACAAGCTTCTTGTCTCTCAAGTGTATTTCTCTTCCTGGCCCCCTTTCTATCTGTGACATTATGCAGTGAGCACCCAACAGTGGGAGTGATGATTGAAGTCAGTGATTTCAAGATAATTTCTTTGTATTCTCTGAAGGCTTCAGTGGTTGATTGCTGCTCCAATTGGGTAATAATTGGCTAATTCTCTTGATAAAGAAAAAGATATAATTTGGAAATAATTGATCTAACAAGAGAAAATGAATATATGCTTAAAAAATTATTTGGGTCATTGCATTGTTAAAGGTAATAAGTAATTTAGAGTTAAAATACCATTAATATAATAATATAAATACTGTATATGTATGAATACATACTTTACACTTTATTTATTTATGCTTAGTTCATCTTCTGCCTTTGAAGCATTTTTCTTATAGTGGAGAAAACATTAGAACTGAAAGAAAAGGATTCAATACTGAATCCTTAAGGTATAGAAATTATTAACCACACATATAAAAATATATGACCAATGTCAATATGTACTGCTTTGCATTGCTTCACTGAATTTGCCTCTCAGGAAAGATAACTCAGTCTAATTACTTTCCAGTCTACTCTTGTGATAGTATTTCTATCTTTTAAATATGATTACTAGATGGCAGTCTTTCCAGTGAATGATATCCATGATTTAAGTCAGTGCCAAAAGACTATGAGAAAAGTTGATGCTTTGAGTAAAATTGAGCTTCTCCCAGGCAAATAAGTGGCAAGGCTTCAGAGTTTTTATGCCCACCAAATATAGATGTTTTTCTACTGATTCAGAACTTAAATAAGAAAAAAATCCCTTTATTCCCATGCATTTTATTTTATTTATTTATTTTTATTGAAGTATAATTGACATACAACATTATATTAGTTTTAGGTGTACAACATACTGATTTTATATTTGTATATATTGCAAAATGATCACCACAATAAACCTAGTTAACATCAATCACCACTCATAGTTAGAGAATATTTTTCTTGTGAGAACTTTTAAGATCACGAGAACTTTTAAGATCTACTCTCTTAGCAACTTTTAGATATGCAACACAGTATTATTAACTATAGTCACCATGCAGTACCATCAACCATCAACAAAATGAAAAGGCAACCTACTGAATGGGAGAAAATATTTGAAAATCATATATCTGATAAGGAGTTAATATCCAAAATATATAAAGAACTCATACAACTCAGTACAAAAAACAATATGATTAAAAAGTGGGCAGAGGATCTGAATAGATATTTTTCCCAAAAAGACATACAGATGGCCAACAGGTACATGAAAAGATGCTCAACATCACTAATCATCAGGGAAATGCAAATCTAAATCACAATGAGATATCACCCTCACACCTGTTAGAATGGCTATTATCAAAAAGACAAGAAATAACACGTGTTAGAGAGGATGTGGAGAAAAGGGAACCCTTGTGTACTGTTGGTGGGAATGTAAATTGGTGCAGCACCTGTGGCATGGAATTTCCTCAAAAAATTAAACGTAGAACTACCACATGATCCAGCAGTTTCACTTCTGGGTATTTATCTGAAGAAAATGAACACAGTAACTCGAAAAGATATATACAACCCCATGTTCATTGCAGTGGTATTTACAATAGCCAAGATATGGAAACTACCTAAGTGTCCATCAACAGATGAATGGATAATGAAAATGTGGTGTATATATACACAGTGGAATATTATTCAGCCATAAAAAAGAATGAAATCTTGCCATTTGCAGCAACATGGATGGACTTTGAGGGCATTATTCGAAGTGAAATAAGTCAGACAGAGAAAGACAAATACTGTATGAGCTCACTTATATGTGTAATCTAAAAAACAACAAACAAAACCAAAAAAATCAAGTTCATAGCTACAGAGAACAGATTGATGGTTGCCAGAGGTAGGGCTTGGGGGGTGGGTGAAATGGGTGAAGGGAGTCACAAGGTACAAATTTCCAGTTATAAAATAATAAGAAAAAAACCTTTATTTTCACACCTAAATTGTACATTTAGGTAGAGACAATTATGTTACATGGACACTGCACTTTAAGAGGCAGGTATGAAAGGTATTATCATCTCAATTTTATGGATGAGAAAACAGAACCCAGAGAGATTGCCATTTCCCCAGTGTAGCCTGGCGAGACAAGAGTAAAAACAGAGCCAGACTGTCAGTTACTAACTCCAGCCCTGCCTCCTGTCCCTCCTTGCTACAATATTTGGAGGTGGTAGCAGCCTGTAGTAAGTGCTTGTATTTCAGTTTTGACCACACAGTCTGTACTCATGGGTTGGCAGCACGTTTCTTAGATAATAGAACTCACAGCCAACAGTGTCATGCTCTAGAACATGGTACTATGCTCCATTTAAGTGAGTCACATCTTGTCCCCCCAAACTGCTGCTGCTTATAAACTGGATAAACCCATTAGCCATAAGTCATTTTAAGAAATAAACAGCTAGACTTGAGACTTCTTGAAATGCTAAGGCCTTTCAGCCCAAGACAGATTGACTCGCAGTGCCAATGAGATTCTCATTTCTTCAGCTCTCTGCAGAATTTAAGAATATAACTGAAGAGTCAAGAAAAGTGAGCATTCTATAGTCAGCATATCAATTTAAAAGGTCCTGCAGATAGAGAGGAACTCACTGAGCAATTTATTATTGAGTGCCTTCTGTTTGTGTACCTACTAGTGGCGTGTGTTGAGGGGCGTCAAGAAGAATTATCAGACATGGCTGCTCTTGACTCTTCAGGAGCTTATAAGCTAAAAAAGCTTATAAAACCATGTAAAGGACTACACATATTCAGACGGACCAAGATGGGGTCAGGAAGGTGTTTTAGTTTGAGTTGACCCTGAAACAGATCCTGAGACAAGGATTTGAGTGCATCTGGTTTTTTTTTTTGTTTTGTGAGGAAGATTAGCCCTGAGCTAACATCCATGCTAATCCTCCTCTTTTTGCTGAGGAAGACTGGCTCTGAGCTAACATCTATTGCCAATCCTCCTCCTTTTTTTTCCCCAAAGCCCCAGTAGATAGTTGTATGTCATAGTTGCACATTCTTTTAGTTGCTGTATGTGGGACGTGGCCTCAGCATGGCCGGAGAAGCGGTGCGTCGGTGCGCGCCCGGGATCCGAACCTGGGCCGCCAGTAGCAGAGCACACACACTTAACCGCTAAGCCACGGGGCCAGCCCTGAATGCATTTGTTTTTGGAGGAAGGTGTAAGAAACATAGGAGAAGGAAAATGAGACAGGGAAGGGGAGGCAGCCAATAAAGGGAGCATTATTAGACAGCTGTCACCGTGGGTGACTAGAAAGTAATCCCATGAGGCAACACTGGGAAATAGTATAGAACACATGCCTCAGAGTTATTCTACCCAAGGGGTGGGGGAGCTAGGGTAGTTATATTCCAGCTCTTATCAGGGCTAGAATTGGGGTATTGAGGGCTCTCCCAGGGGTCCTAATTCCCTGGCACTTAAGCCTGCCAGGCACCTGGGCAGAGCAGCCTTCTGCAGCCCTGGAAAAAGCCCTCAGGCACAGTGAGCAGATACTGACAGCTAGAAGTCAGCCTGTGTACATAAAACAGAAGCGTCCAAGGAATATGGGCAGGGGACTGACAGAGTGTCTGTCACAGTAGGATTCTTGGTGGAGGTGAGACTTGACAGTACTCATTCTCTTCTCTCCCCAGGTATCTTTATGATCCTCTCTCTCTTATCCATTGTGTATGGAGCCTTGCGCTGCAACATCCTAGCCATCAAGATCAAGTACGATGAATACGTTGTAAAAGTGAAGCCACTGGCCTATGTTTGTATCTTCCTCTGGAGGAGCTTTGAGATTGCCACTCGAGTTGTGGTCCTGGTCCTCTTTACCTCCGTCCTGAAGGCCTGGGTGGTGATGGTCATACTCATCAACTTCCTCAGCTTCTTCTTTTACCCCTGGATCCTCTTCTGGTGCAGTGGCTCCCCGTTCCCTGAGAACATCGAGAAGGCTCTCAGTCGGGTGGGCACCACCATCGTGCTGTGCTTCCTCACCTTCCTCTATGCTGGTATCAACATGTTCTGCTGGTCAGCTGTGCAGCTGAAAATCAACAACCCTGACCTCATCAGCAAGTCGCAGAACTGGTACCAACTACTGGTGTACTACATGCTGAGATTCGTTGAGAATGCCCTCCTCCTCCTCATGTGGTATCTTTACAAGACCAACATCTATATGTATGTGTGCGCACCTCTGTTGATTCTGCAGTTGCTCATTGGCTACTGCACAGCCATTCTATTCATGCTCGTGTTCTATCAGTTCTTCCATCCTTGCAAAAAGCTCTTTTCCACCAGTGTTTCTGAAGGCCTTCAGGAGTGGCTAAAGTGTGTTTGCTGTGACTGCAGGCGGCAGAAATCCTGTGAGTCTGTGGAGAAGACGGATCTAAGGTCACCTGGAGACAGAGATGAGACACCTTCTAGCAGTAAAATAAGTTCTATGCCCAGCCAGATCTTGAATGCCGATGAGCTCTGCTCTGCTTAATAGAACCTGAGTCTCTTGGGGCACAGACATATTGTTTTCTGGGTTGATCCCTGTTCTTCATACAAGTGATGAGCCCTGCACAGTTAACAAAGCAGGAAGTTAGCTCTCAACTCTTTGTGAGTTGCTCCCCTTTAGAGAGCTTTTGGGCATGTGGGAACTATGGGGAGAAGTCAGGGAAACCCCTGCCTGTTGGAGGGGCAGCCTAAGGCACCACCATGCACAGTTGACCATGGTCTCCCAGGTGTTACAGGCCTTTTCACTGACAAAGTATCCATGATATCTGAGTTGGGCTGGTTAGATCCATCAGGTAAAATGAAGACAGTGTCTTTCTTGTTTTCTGGTTTTCTAGATTGCTGGTCTAGGTAGCCTAAAGTTTTATTTTCCCTGAACATAGTTTTCACCCAGGAGCTGTCCTGATGACCAAAGAAGGTTCCCAGGGTTTCACCATCAGCAACATCATTCCTATCAGAGTTTTCAGAGAGGGCTTGTCAAGTTTGGTTTTTGAATACACAGATGTTCCATTTTCATCTCATTAGGGCTCTTTGTACATAACCAACTGTAGCCACTTTGGCCTGCTATCTCTAATTGATTCAAAAGTCTAGATTTGGAGACTTTGTTCCCCAGGATACATGGATGTAAAATTGAATTCTAAATTTGGTTGTGGAAGCCCTAGAATTTTAGGGAAGTTGTGTTCCTTCAATATGTTGAAGAAATTCTGAATCAAGAGGGTTGTTAAAACATCAAAATGATATAGAGTTTTGTAAGCAGAATTCTTACCTTCTTGGGATGGTTGAAGATGTGAATCTACTAGAAGGTAGGCTTAAACCTCTTCAAGGTTCAGTCATGTCCTACAATTCTGGGAAATTTCTAGAATTTTCTAGGATTTGCCTTCTTAAGAAAGAAGAAAATAAAACTCATAGTATTCACGCCCCCTCTTCCTTGCGTGTCAGGAAAGTTTTAGATAAGAGTTACCTTGGTTAACTTGTTTTTCTAGAAAACTCCACAGAAATCTATCACCTAGCACAGGTATATAGGACATTTTAATTTTCATTATTTAAAGGAAAAGTATCACCCCCCCCAAGTTAGATATTGACTTCAGAAACTTTTAAATTATAGAAAAAGATGAAATGAGCAGAAGATTTTTGTCTTTAACTGAATGCATTTTTATTTGAACAAGATCCCCAATTTTATCCTCCTAATAATCTCCATCTTGAGTATAATTTCTCCTCTAACCTGGAACCCTATTTGTTTCATAAGACGATTGTGTAGTGTATCCTTAGTTGTCTTGGGAAAATGCCTGGATCTGGTGCCATTATTTTTTCCGTAAAAACCTTGATAATGAAATACCTGGAAACAGGTGACCTGTCACTGACTAGGCTGGACATTGCAGGTCAATCAGGGTTGACAGTCTAAAGACCCGTAACGGCCGAACTTTCTGACCTATCCTGTTTCTAACAGTCAGTCTGTCAGGGGACAGGTTAAAAATGGTGAATTTGAGCAGGAGTTGTGGTCAGAATTAGACGGGGATGGAGAGACTGGTATTTACTTCCCAGTCTTGGTTTGGAAGCTTGTCTCAAGACCCATTACAAAATCTGAGCCTTCAAATACATTTTAAATCATTTTAATGTAGAAGATAGGTAAGCATCTTGAGTGACCCCAACCCAAACAGGGATGCTCTGTCAGACTCCCAAAGCCTAATTATAAGCCATATTTGTAAGGACAAAGAGGTTTGGTAACTAAATTGGACATTTTGTCATCTTTAACCCTTGATATACAGATACCCCTGCTTTGGAGCCATGTATGTCCATTCACCTTGGGAGAGAGAAACCACTGCTTTTCTTCTGCATGGTGAAAATTTAAGTCATGGTGAACCGAGAATTTTTGTTTTAAAATTATTTATATTATACCTCTGAAGTGGCAAAATTATAGTTCAGACTGCAGACCTAGGTTGCCCTAAAGACAAACAAACCAGCAAAGTCCGTCTCGTGTTGCGAGTTAAAATGTGTTTTTCAGTTATAATTTGAATTTCTAAAACTTTCAGTGCTTTAATTAATTACATACCATAACTTGTCATGACTGCTGCTCCAACTGAATCACTATCATTTGGCTGGATGGAGGTGAAGTATTTCCTCAAAATATATCGAAATAAGATCATCAAACATGTTCAGACTTTCTCTCTTCATTACTAGAGACAGTGCAGTATAGAGATTGGCATCTCCCTATCCAGCCCTGCAAGTTACTTCATTGTTCTATGCCTCAGTTTCCTCACCCACCACATTTGGATGATATACTTGCCCAGCCTACCTCACAAGGTTGTCAGAAAGATCAAATTAAATAATAGGTGTGAAAATGCTTTGAAAATATTTTTAAAATGCCATGCATATTTAAGGAGTTGTTATTATAGTTATTCAAATCCATAAACAGGTTATTATTATTTTTTTACTGTTAGAAATGAAACAAGTAGAGTCACCCACGTGAGTGTCTTGAGTGAATAATGTTGGCCTTTGGCCTTATGGAAGGGCAACTGTAAATGGTCTTTGCTCTTGCAGAGAACTCAGCAGTCGCCCCTTCTCTTACCATAAGTTGTTTACAAAAATTAGCACTCAAACACGTGGTACTTGGAGGAAAAAGACCCACTGAAATCTGAGACATTGCTTTTGATGGCAAATGTTTATCATTTTTGTATCTATCATCTTTCATAAAGGACATAGCAGCATCTTTTGATAATTCTGCTTTACAACTTGAATGCCTCATCCTGCTAGACTTTAAATGAATGTGGGTTTAATCTTTTCAGCCTTGTAAATGGGAAAATAAACATTAAAACTGATTGTAAAATACAGCATTTCCTTGGAAACCACCTTAGAACATTAGTGCCATGGTTATGAGTGTATGTGTCAGTACTTCTTAGCCAATAAATTGTGGATGTGAGCTTTTGCAGGCTGCTTCTCTGCAGCCATTGACTCAAATATTATGTTTCTTCATATAATAAATTAACTTTTCAATTTCTCCTTGCATTTCATTCCTTATGCAGTCCTTTCACGGCTTTTTGACTTCAGGGACTATTTTAAAAATAGAAATTTGAAAATGGTTTTATTGTGATTAATTATGGTTTTGTAACCTCACCTGGAAATTCCTTCCGTAGGATGAGAAATTTGAGAGTGCTAGGATTCTGCCTTGCTAGGATTCTGCCTTGCAAGACACCAAGAGTCCATGGACTCTCCTTTGATTGTTTTATAAGCATTTACTCCATTTGTTAAAGCTGCACTGCTGGATTCTAAGATTCTGCTCAGCTATCTATTGATTGCTGTGTGCAAATCAAAAAAAGAGGCAATATAAATCTCTTCTAGACAAACATAAATGGTATACTGCTTCAGAAATATAAAATACAGAAGGGGTGATTTGATATTAACATAATCAAATAATAAAATGTAAATGATGATCTGTAGTTGGGAAGAATATCAGTTATTAAAGGAGTTGTCTCAGAGCATGAGATAGACGTGGATCGTTTCAATAAGTCCTTTTCTTCTGAAGGTGGCCTTGCAATTTGGAAAGACTTAGCTCTAAGATAAGTCTTTTGAAAGAGATCTCTTGGTGTTAAATTAACCCCTTAAGAAAACTGAAGTCAGCAAGTATAGTGTTTAAGTAGGTCAATCTAAAGTAACTTCATTTGATGTTTGTAAATGTTTTATTTTGATGTAATTTCAAGCTAATAGAAGAGCCTCAAGAATAGTGCAAGGAATTCCTTTATATCCTTCACCCATATTCACCTACTAACCTTTTGCCATGTTTGCTTTCTCATTCTCACTTTCTCTCTTTTGTTCCTTTATTCCTAAATACTTCAGTGTGTATTTCCTGGGAACAAATGCATTCTCTTACATAGTCACAGTACGATGATCAAATTCGGGAAGTTTAACATGGATGCAATACTAGTATCTGATCTAGTGTCCATATTCCATTTAACAATTGTGCCAATCACTTCATTTGTTTTCACAAAGCTTCCTCAACAATGTGAATCTACTCAGTTCTCTTCTATGGGATTCTTTTTAAGTTATGAGTAAGTTTTAACTTCCTCATGAACACTGGGAAAATTACAGAAGACTTTGAAAAGCTATTTGAAGAAAACATATGCATGTTATCGGTACTGACTAATAGCTTAAAACCTAAATTTGGAATGTTCACTGGCGAACTGCAGGTAATTCTTTTTTATGGATATCCATTTTAGGTATCAAGTGTCTGCTGCTTAATATGTGAGCCTGTAGTTCACTCCGCTTCCTCGCCCCACTGTGATAGTTCTGTTTTACAGTGTTCAGGCCCAAGTCTGTAAAGATTAGGAAGGAAGTATATATTATTCCTCTGTGGCCATATTTCTTGGGGTGTCCCCCTTCCAGGAGACTATATTCTCTATGAACTTCTTTCCAAATAGGAAAGAGCTCAGAAATGTCAACTATGTGCTGTAATTAAATGCGGAACGTTTTGAGCCTTTCCTCTTTTTCAGAAAAAGGCACTTTGTAGCAGCAGAGATTTGTACAGAGCTGGGAATTCAGAAACATCCCCAATCCTTTCTTTCCCAGCACACAACAAACCCTATCAGACTAGGCCGCTAACCTGCTAAGAAAGTGTGTCTGTTGCAGGAGCCTGCCCCAGGGAATGCCTCACTCTTCCTTGTCACCCTCTCTGCATGGTTGTTTCTCTGGGAATCAGTAGGCCAAAGAGGTCCGAATCAGTGTTGGTTTAAGCAGGTTTTAGAACCCAGAGCCTCTCTGAGGAGTATATAGCAATAAGCAGCAGCATCTCTTTGCAGCAGGTTATCAGAAAACTTCCCCACCCAGACTCCTCTGGGCATACACCTCCCTGTGGGAGCGGGTTTCAGGGTTTGCCTCCTAACGAGGAGAGATTCATCCAGATAGATTTTGAGATTCTGCCTGTGCTTCTGCTCCCTCCCTGCCTCCCATCCTGAATTAATTCTCTCTCTCCGAATGATGAGTTCCTGATTGAAGCCTGATTAGCCTGCTTCCTAGAGCCCTGGGAATATCATCCTCCTTAGACATCTGCATTAGGCATACTGGTTTAATTTCTTATCAGTTGGCTTCCTATTTTAATTACCTGAACTCTACGTTTAATGAGTCAGGTTTTCAGGAGCGATAGCACTCAAGAAACAAAACAGGATTTAGAAATTCTATTTTGGAGTGGTGCTGCAAGACCATCCCCATCACCACCCCAGTGGAGAGGAGAAAGGCTCCCTGGTGTCACCTTCTCCTAACAAGGTGACTTTCTTAAGCAGAGTGACATAATTTTTTAGAACAATGGTGCCCAGCTGTAGGGCTGCAGACCTCCAAGAATTGGAGAGGCATTGCACTCCTCTCCACTAACTAGAGATGTCTGTACACTAACTAGAGATGTCTGGCACACACTTATACAATTATTTTTCAAACTAATGGGGATGCTGTCATGAGTGACGATAGGGGCCAGCCCCGTGGCATAGCAGTTAAGTGCGTGTGGTCTGCTGCTGGCAGCCCGGGTTCGGATCCCGGGTGCACATCGATGCACCACTTGTCAAGCCATGCTGTGGCGGTGTCCCATATAAAGTAGAGGAAGATGGGCATGGATGTTAGCCCAGGGCCAGTATTCCTCAGCGAAAAGAGGAAGATTGGCATGGATGTTAGCTCAGAGCTGATCTTCCTCACAAAAAAAAAAAGAAAAAAGAACAGGACTGATTAAAAGTGTTGCTGTATTTCAAGTAACTGTCATTATGCCCCCAGCCCCAACCATGAACAGGTGTTAAAAATTTAACCACTATCATGTGGGAGCTGACCTTCAAAGACTTCCTTTGTAATTGGAAATGTTGGGAACTACTATGTTAGAAGGCTTTTTCTCTGCTGAAATGTTTTCTCATGAGTTCTTATGGTATACTCTTTTCCTTTTAAAATGAGGGTTGGTCACAGGCCAATCACTTGGCTTCTCTCATTTCCAGTTTGATTCAAGAGATAAGGAAATATTTTTATTTTAAAAATGTAATGTGAATGTTCTACCCTCAAAAAGTAAATTATCTACCTTCACACAAAGTGCATCATCAAAGTGAAATGCTT